TATATTATACATAACTATATTTATATAAATATGTATTTTTTTAAAAATCTTTTTAAAGGTTCAATTTTATAAACACTTTTTATAGCGAAATTTTTTAGCGTGAAAACAAGCATTACATAACAACTCAAATTTAATGTAATAAAAAATACTGTTTTTTAAATGCATTTTTAAATTTTTATAAAATAAATTTAAAAGAGGTTTTAAAAGCTAAAATATTTGTTTAAAGTTTATAAAACCATCGGACAAAAAAACATAAAGGTTTTTATGTTTCATTTATTTTGAAAAAAATACTAAACTTTAAATTTAAATTAATAACTTATTGCAATGTTTTAATATGAATGATAAAAACCAGGCTAACTAATTTTAAAAAATGTAATGCTTTGGCATTTTATAAAAAATGATTAAACTCAACAAAATGATGTAACTTTATTTTTGTTTTGTATAAAAAATTAAAGTTCAAAAAATAAAGTTTATATGAATGCTAGATGTTGTTTGTCCAATGTCCAATGTCCGACGCTTATTTCAAGCCCTGTATTTCAACAAAAAAAAATAGCAAATATGTTGTTAATAGCTAGCCTTAAACAATAATATTCATAAAGAAATAAAATTTTAATTATCTTAAATTTGCAATATTACTTGCTTTGTTTTATCAAAGTAGTAGGTATAATTTAATTATTAATTAAATTCACCTTAAGTACATCAATCTTTAATACATCAATCACCTTTAATACATCAATCATTTTTGATGAGTTACCACTATAATTCTAACTGACATTCTAACTGACAAAAATTTTGGGAAGACTGTCCTAAAACATTTTTAACAAAAAGTTTTTTGTGTTAAGTTGTTAAGTCTTACTCACCTAAGCATTACCATAACAACATAACAAGATCTCAAAGTCTAGATTTTACACATGTTTGACTAAGACTTGGCCAGGAAGCAGGTGTGCACTCGATAATTGACCACGCAAATAATATTTAGTTGCGAAAAACCAGCCAGATTTTTAGTCGTTTTGTGGACACTTAAGTTTATATATGTTTCCATGTTTGTCCGCAAAACAATTATAAAGTTATGTGCATGGCTAATTAATGCCATTCTAAACAAAATTGCGGCTAGTTTGCCAGAAGTAACACATCATTCAGAAAATCAAAGATCTGTATAGTGAGCAAAAAAATTTGATGAGCTCTTGGGCCAGGAGAAATGAGAAGGATAAACAGAATCAAAAACAGTACACTGAAAAACTTGATAACTTGTTTGATATCAGCCATGCGAATGCAGCTCAGCTAATCAGTAATGAGGAAGATAGACTGTTTTTGAAATTGCAACAAGAATCTAGAACTGGTTGTATTGGACCAGTTGACAGAAAGCTCTAGGGTTGAGAGAAGCGCTCTGCAAAACGTCAGGAACAGTTGGTCAAGCAAGTTGCATCAGCTGCAGCAGCAGCCACATCAAGCCAGAAGATGGCAGCATTGTTAGACAGTGAAAACAGCTTGTCGGAAGATGACAATGATAACTTTGTAGTTACAATGCCAAACAGGAGCGGTAATGCTAAAAAAATAAAACGTCAAGATGTTTTCCCACCAAAGGTGGCTGTTATTTGATAGTTCTTGATAGGAGAACCTCAGCATTTGAACATCATGTGAGGCTGCTCAACAAATTAAAAATGACTTCATTCCTTGCAAGTCAGTAGTACACTAGGATGGGAAGTCTATGTCTGATTTAACTGGTGATGACACTAATCAGGTGGATCGCTTGCCTATTTTGATCTCGTCCATTGTTGATGGCAGTACCAAGCTCCTAGGAGTGCCAAAAATGACCTATGGATCTGGGCAGACTGCAGCAGACGCAGTTTATGAACTGTTGGTGTCATGGAAAAACGAAAATCTTATTATCAGTATGCACTTTGATACAACTGCATCAAATACAGGCAAACACAAAGGAGCATGCACACTGTTAGAGGTTGCTGTTGGACATAATCTGCTATGGTTGGCATGCAGACACCACATGCTTGAAGTCCTACTCTCAGATGCATTTGGCATGTGTTTTGGACCATCAACTGTGCCTGATATAATCATCTTCAAGAGATTTTGTGATAAGTGGTCTGCAATTCGCATTCCAATAAATTGCCAAGCTCCTTTGATTAATGATCATGATGACCTAAAGACTTTTATTGAAAGACAATTGAATCTTGAAAGTCATCCAAGACATGACTATTTTAAGCTTCTTTTCCTTGCTGGTGCAATGCTCGGTATGCTGACCAACACTACAATACGGAAGCCTGGGGCACTGCACCAAGCACCCTGAATGGCAAAGGCCATCTATTCTCTGGAAGATGGAACTTCTGTTTGACAGTAATGAAGATGTTTTCAAGCTAATGGCACAAAAACTCCAGGGCATTCAGTGATTTAATAGATTTGTTGTCTATGTATATCTCCAATCATAGTTCATGAGCAGAATTGCTATTGATGCACCAAATAACAACATTTTGCTTATGCAACGACTGAATGAATATCATGATCTGGCTTTGCAGACAATTTGGCTGAAGATGATGATGCGTCATTCCTGGTATCTAGGCCAGGAGATGGCAACACTTGCTCTCATTTCGGTACGACTGTCTCAACTCAAGAAAGCACACCATGTATTGAAAACGAAAACAGTTTGTGGCAAGCATTTACTCACATCATTACCAAGCAACTTATCAGAACTATCAATGTCTCGCAGCTTCTTTCAAACTGCTGGTACTGGCAACAGTTTCCTTGAAGTAGATGTAGAAACCTGGCTGAATGTTGCATCATTCAAGATTGCAAAATCAGTTGTAAAGAAGTTAGTGTGTGTCAATGATTGTGCAGGGCGCGGAGTAGCGCATATCCAGACATTCAATGAATCAGTTACCAAGAATGAGGAACAAAAACTGGAATCTGCTGCAAGTGGTTGAAAAACACAAAAATGACTTTAAACACTGCAGACGTGATAATCTTTTATATATTAAGACATTTATATTATTCAAAAAGCAAGTAACATTGTAAATATGTGGAAAAAGTTCTGTAACTGAGTATTAGTAATTACACATTTTTTTATGATTTTGTCTAAATTACTGTTTTGAAACCTTCCACCTGATGCAGTAAAACATATATATATATATATATATATATATATATATTATATATATATATATATATATATATATATATATATATATATATAATTTTTCCCATAAACAACACTTTCCACCTGATGCAGTAAAACATATATATATATATATATATATATATATATATATATATATATATATATATATATATATATATATATATATATATATGTATATATGTATATATATATATATATATATATATACATATATATATATATATATATATATATATATATATATATATATATATATATATATATATATATATATATATATATATATGTATATATATATATATATAAAGTTTTTCCCATAAACAACACTTTCCACCTGATGCAGTAAAACATATATATATATATATATATATATATATATATATATATATATATATATATATATATATATATATATATATATATATATATATATATATATATATATATATTTATGTATGTATGTATGTATGTATGTATGTATGTATGTATGTATGTATATAATTGCTCTATCCTTTAAGAACATTGAGCACTCTATTTGTACAATACACTAACAGTCTTTTGGTATGAAAAAATAACTCTATTATTGCACTATAAGTGAAATATATATACTATTGTATTTAAGTATATTAATAATTTTTACTATATTCATATTATGCAACAGTGATTAATATTATTAACATTCAACAACAACAACAACAAAAAAACAGAAATGTGAGTGATTATTTGTCCAATAAAATAATCAACTATTTTTTTTGCTTTTTAATTAAAAAAAAAATCAAATTTTTTAATTTAAGCAAATTTTCAACCCAAAGTTTCAACTCCACCACAACCCTGTTAGTACTTATAACAAAGATAATATTTATGATCTATAAGCAGTGAATTTTTAAAGTAATAGTGTTTCAATCTTCATGTTTAGGATTTAAAGGTTTGAAAAAGGTTTTGAAAAAATTTTAACATAATCTCAACTGTAGAAGCTCTCTGAATTAGGAAGGTGAATTAGGGAGGTGAACACATATTTAAAAAAATAGCAAGCCTCACAGTACTTTATCAGCTAATAAATTTTAAACTGCACTTAAAATATAAAAAAAGAACTAACCTCATCACTATTCATAATCTTTGCTATAATAACTTCACCCAAATGTGAGCAATTTTTAATTAACTCATTGTCATTACTAAACTTTTCATTTTGTAAAAACTCTAAAATATAGCAAACTAAACACATAACCATTCTAAATATTATTTTCTAATGTTAACTGTCAAAGCTACTTGTCATATACATTTAGAAAATTAACTATCTGAAATTATAAAATTATTTTTGTTTATATACAATTAGTAACTGTTTTAAAACTAAAATAAAACTTTTACTACATCAAGATTAAAAAAAAAAAAACATTTCACATTTCATGCAAGTGAATACATTTTAGATTAAATAAAAATCGATACATTTTGCATTGAATACAAATCAATTTATTTTATATACATATAAATTAATACATTTTATTGAAGTTGTTTTGATTTTTGTTACAGCTTTGCTCCTTTTTTTATAACTAAATGTTTTACTACTCTAATTCTGAGTCAATGTATGAACTCACCTATTCCTATTTAAGTATGATATTATCTCAGATGTTAGCACTGACTAACATCTTGCAACTCTTATAAAAAAACAATCTTTTTTGGTTTATCTATTTAGGAAACATATAAATGTCAATTAAAAAGTGAATTAAGTAAAAAAAAATAATTACCCTAATTTAAAATTATAACCACACTCTTAAAAGTTTCCAAAATGATAACTTACCTACAATATTCTTCATACAACTTTCTAATGCTTTGACAGTATGATTATTACAAGATATATTTTGCAAACTTTTTTCTAAGTCTAAAAAATACAGTAAAAGTTTGAAAAAATCATACATTGTTTTTATTCCTCAAAAAAATACTTTATTCCAAAACTAATTTGCTACTCAAAAATGTACCTTTAATACATTGCTTTAAGTTAACCATAATAACTTCCAAATAACTTTCATCTTTTTTTAAGGTATCATACCAGTTGGAAATGGATGTAACTAAAGAAAAAAATATTAGGACTATATCTGCTATGTCACAGCATTTATTGTAAGTATACTTAGCATAATTAGTATAATCAGTAATTATTACAGTATAATTAGTATAGTCAGTAATTATTACAGTATAATTAGTATAATCAGTAATTATTACAGTATAATTAGTATAATCAGTAATTATTACACTATAATCAGTCTAATCAGTAATTATTACAGTATAATTAGTCTAATCTGTAATTATTACAGTATAATTAGTATAATCAGTATAATCAGTATAATTAGTATAATCAGTAATTATTACAGTAATTAGTAATTAGTAGTAATTAGTAGCCAGAGTAGCGATTTTACTGCTGCAGAAAAATTCAAGTCATGCTTCTAATTTAGGCATTCAGTAATAACTTTTTGTTGAAGTCTTAAAACAATATGAAACAATATGAAGTCTTAAAACATGATACTTAGTCTTAAAACAAAGTCCTAAAAATAATAGCAAACTATTATACTTAACAATATGAAAGTTTTTTTGAAATGGATTCAATTTACTAAAAATTTATTTTGTTTAAGGAGAATAAAAAACAAGGCTTTAGTAAAAATTTAGCGAGCATATTAATTAAATATAAAACCCAAGTTAATGGAATCAAAAAGAGATATAGGAAACAAATAGCAACATTTACACAACTTAAATAATACATATAAATAATTTAAATAAATTTAAAAACTTTTTTTTTTTTTACATCTTTGCTTCCAACAAAGCTGCAAGCAACCACTATAAGAAGTTTATAACTATTGGAAAATATTGGTAGAGAAAAGATAAAGTTTGTAGAGCAAGATAATGATTGACAGACAACTTAAAAGATTGCAAATTATATGAAACAGGAAAACAAGATGAAGGAAGCAAATTCCAAAGAACTGATGTTCAAGGAAAAAAACTAGACGAACAAGAGTTTTTGGAGCACTTAGGAACAGTCACAGAAAAAGGATGAAACTTAATTGAATGACGAGTAACACGAGAATGAATTTTAGTAGATGGCACAAAAGACGCTAGCTCTTTAGAGCAGTGCCCATTATAGTATTTGTAGAAAAAAGAAAAAGAAGCAACATTACGACGATGTAATAATGGTTAGAGTTTTGCTGCAAGAACAAGTCCAATTATGTTTAAAACGATGCCTTTTTTTCAAGATGTGTTTTTGCATCTTGTCTAAAAGAGAAAGGGCATCATTAAAAGGTCTGCCCAGATATGGCAACAGCATTCCATACAAGAACGAATTTGAGATTTATAGATATAAAAAATAGAATTCAGAGTAAGAAAATGTCAAGCACGATAAAGAGATGCAACCATAGCAGATGCTATTTTCATACTTGTGAACATAATTTTATTATTTATTATTATTCGTTGAGATATTTAAAATTGCTATAAGAGCATCCATAAAGTACATTTTATTTTTAAACATCTTCACGTCCAACAAGGCTACCGAAAGAGAAAAGATGAAATTTATAAAGCAAGGTAACGATAAACAGACAACTTAAATGATTGCAAATTATATGAACCAGGAAAACAAGTAAAGGTAGCGAATTCAAAAGAGCTGATGTTTGAGGAAAAAACTAAATGAATAAGAATTTTTAGAGCAATTAGGAACAGTCACAATAAAAGGATGAGACTTAATTGAATGATGAGTAACACAAGAATGAATTTTAGAAGATGGCACAAGAGACGCTAGCTCTGTAGAGCAGTACCCATTATAGTTTTTATAGAAAAGAGAAAGAGAAGCAACATTATATCAATGTAACAATGGTTAAAGGTTTGCTGCAAGAGTAATTTTAGCTATGTTTATAATGCCTTTAAGCACTTTGTCTTAAAGAGAAAGGACATCATTTGAAGATCCACTCCAGATCTAAGGCAACAGCATTTCATACAAGGACAGATTTGAGATTTATGGAGATAAAAAATAGAATTCAGAGTAAGAAAGTTGCAAGCACTATAAGGAAATGTAACCTTAGCAGATGCTAATTTTGCAAAGGATTTGATTTCCAAAGAAGATAGGAAATAAGAGCAAATCCTAAAAGACAAGGTGTATATGACTTATCAAGTACATTACTGTTCATAAATATAGGAAAATCTAGATTGCAATATCTAGCAAGTTTTTTCTGAGTTTAAATTTATCAGCCCCATGCTGTAAGAGAAGCAGGATCTTTTTTGACCTCAAATACCCCCTTTAAGCATTGGCTTCTTATCAAGACAAGAATAACTGGTAGTATTATCAGAGTACAATACCACATTAGATGTGGGAATTTCTGGGAGATCATTAATGTAAATTTAAAAAAGTATAGGTCTAAGAATAGAATCTTAAGGAACCCTTGAAGTGAAACTATATGTATTTACTTTTTAAAAAAAAGAAATTAAGTTTCAGGAGAGATAGTCACATCTAGTACATACTTGCTATCTTTGACAACCCTCCCCTTTGTATACATTCTTAGGTTTTGGGGTAATTCTCCCTCCACCATACCTGCACACAGTGGGCACACATTCTGCTAATGGTATCTGTTAAATTGACAATTAAGGAGTTTTTTCTTGAGAGTCTAGTATGCATTGATCTTAATATTTTCTTATTACCTTTTAACCCCGAATCATAAAGATTTCACAAACCATTCTCCTAATAATATAAAATTAGCTCCCAAGAATGACCAATCAGTTTGTAAAGCGATAGTGTTAAACTAATCCATGGTTTAGGTGAACTTATTTTTGTAACAGGCTGAAACTCATTAAACATGAATAGATAAAAGCTTTTATATTGATCCAAATAAATTTTTCTTTTTGAGGAAAGTACTTAAAGAATTACTGAACGCACCAATTTGAACTTTTGAAATGATGCATGATATTGAGAAGAAAATTGTGCAATAATTAAATCCCTGTTTAATTTTTTGTGCAATAGTTCTATATACAACCTGTTGCGTTCTTCTTCTTTTTACAATAGAAAAGAGTGAAAGGAGGGGGGGGGGGGGGAAGAGGGGTAGAGGTGTTATTCAAAAATTGGTTTAATCCTTTTTTTAATTTCTAGACATACACTTTTACTGAACACATCTTTGTCTTTAAAAAATATGTACAAAATAATGTAAAACTATTTGCATTAATATTTTTTAATATATTTTACAAAAAATTTAAACAAAAAGGGTAGGGTGATTCTTTTTTTTTTTAAAAGTGCTAAGGGTAGGGTGATTACTTTTTTTTTTTTAAAGTGCTAAGTTGGCACAATTTAGTTAAAAAGCATTTTATTCCTCTTTGTCATAGAAGTTTAAAAATATATGGGTTTACTCGTGCCACCTTAGCACTTTTTAAGATAAATTATTTTTCCTGATAAAAAATTAGTTAAAAAACACTAAAATTTTGCAAAGATTAGTTGTTTCATTAGTTATTATATGTAAAAAAAATTTTGTGAAATAATCTATGAAGTTAACATTCACATTTCCATAAACTGCAGTTTAACAATGTTTTTACATACAATTATCACATAAGCTTATATAGCGACATTTTTTCTTATATAATGCCAAAAATAACTTTAATACATCATTTATACTTATTATCTATATTTTGCATCGCGTTTAGGTTTTTCAAAAAAAAGTTAATACAAAGGGGTTACCAAAAAACATAGAAATGAGGTCGGCAATTTTTTGCCAACCTCAAACACTTTAAGATCAGCAGTTAGGTCAGCATTGCCAAATGCCAATCCTAATTCTGAAGGTTGATATATATATATATATATATATATATATATATATATATATATATATATATATATATATATATATATATATATATATATATATATATATATATATATATATATATATATATATATATATAATTATGTTTTTTCTGTTTTACCTAATAAAAAAGATCAAATGCACAATAAAGAAACTTACTAGATGGTGAAACTAGAATTTGTATTTTTTTTGTATTTAACTATACATAGATCATCCTAGCCATATTTTAAAAAACCTGAAATTTGTTGAAATAAATTTTCTGGAAAAATCCGGTGTTTTTTTTACCGTATTTCCTTTTTAATTTCACTTTTAGCTATGCTGTTTCTAATTTTTTTGACATTTTCATAATTTTTCTATGAGTGATGAGTGAAAAAGCTTAAAAAACAAATATATTACAAAAAATATATACCTTAACTTGCATGTATTGAATGTTTTGGATATCAAAAAATAAAAGTTAAAAGAAATATTAGGAATTCCAGAAATATTCAGAAAAAGATAATCCCTCACTATAGTATATATTTTTTGATAAAGTGTTTTATTTTTTTGTGGAATGCCATATTTTTATAACTATAATGCTAAGTCAAATTAAAATAAGTGAAACTAAAACATACTAGAGCATTTTCTTTCCTTAACTAAAGCTTAACTTAACTAAAATATGTAAGGCACTCTCTTTAAGTCTTTTTACCTTTAATATTTAATCCTATTTTACTACCTTTACTATTTAATCCTAAAGCTGCTACCTCTCTACTCGCTGATACATAAATAGCTTTATTCTTCTCTAACAAATGTTGTTCGATACAACGTTTTTTTCTAATCTGTCTTTATAACTCTTACTTATCTCCATGTTTTCCTTTTATATACAACCTACAACTTTTTAAGTCTTCAGTTAACCATTCCCTAGTTTTTTAAACCTATACTCTATTTTAAAGTAACTCATAACTAAATAGTGTTAGCTTGCAACCTTGTTGAAAGTAAATAAGAGTTTAAAAATATATAAATATATGCTAGTATTTAATAAATAGTGATGTACCGTTTAATCAGCATCAGCTTGTTTGGCCACATTTTGCATAATCAGAATTGGTATTGGCATCAGCCTTTTTTTATTAATTTACTGATTTTAAAATCGATGGTATTTTAATATTTGTATTCTGCGTTATGATAATAATTAAATATAATAAATAAACTAAACTTTGCATTAATTATAATTTTTTTGAGAAATGGTTTATTTTGACATTGTTTATAGGCAAATTTGTTTATTCTTAAGATGTTTATAATACATGCTTTGATGATAATTTAACTTAACAGCTGAATGTATTTACACTTTTATTACCATAATTTTGTTTTTAGAATAATTTTAAAATTGTGTTGTTTTATTGTTATACTTAAAAGTAACTTAAAATTTAAGCATTGTTATCTATATGTGTTCAAGTACAGCCTTATATATGATTGTTGTTTAATTTTACATTACTAATAAATTAATAAGAATTCTAAGTAAACTGCTTATCTTAGCACCATTTTTTTTTTAAATTGAAATAAAAAGCATTCCTCTAAAATTGTATTAATGTTTTGAAAGTTTTCTTTTCATAGTAAAATAAAACTAAAAAAAAGTATATTTTTTTAACTGAGTTTTTCTAATATCTTTTAAAATAATAGTTTGGCTCTGATTTGTGTCCAAGTATTTGTTTACCAGTACTGATTCCATGAAAAAGTTTACACGATTTAAGTTGTACGGTTTATATTTTCAAAATTTTAATAATTAGTTAATTCATCGGTATTGGGCTTTTTCCATCCATCTGCATCAGTATCGACATCAGCCACTAATGTGCTATTGGCACATCACTAATAAATAGTAAATGTTAGTATAAAATTGTAATATATAAATGATTATAAATTTTTACGTAGCCTCGGCTATCAACCCCTGTTAAATCATATAATTTTGCCAGGGCCGGGTTTGCAAAAAGTCTCATTTTTATTTAGAGCCGGGAACTTGGTCACTTAATATGCTATATTCCATAGTGGATATTTATATAAATTTTAAATGGATTTATATAATATTTTAATATCATAAAGCATTGACATGTTGATTTTTTTTTAAATCTTTTTAAATCTCAAGCATAAATCTTCAACAAAAACCTGTCAAATTAAATGTTTTATTAGAATAAACACCCACTATAACAGAAAACATTTCCATTCCCCATGAGAATCCAAATTAACAAGATTTAACTGTATTTTTTGAAACCCTATTGTTAAAAAATCATGCAAATCTGGATGCAATTAAATTAAATCCCAAATTCAATTTAATAAAATAAAACTTAATATCAACAAACATTGTTATATATAAAGTTATATACTAAATATTAATGATTCAATAATGTAATCAAATCAACTTGATACTTAATATAAAAAAACATACCAGCCATTAAAAATTGATCACAGCATTTATATTTTTCTTCTTTTATTTTCAATCTTACTGGTACTATATCAATGTTATAGCTTTTTTGTGAATCTAAATTATAATTGATTATCAGATAATAGGTTAAGAAAGGTTAAGTCAAAAAATAGATTAAAAAAGTTAAAAAAAAAGTAAACCCACCTTTAGAACTATTAACAAAAAAATCTATATCCATTTCAGATGGGTTTGAATCTAACTTAGCATTTTTTAGCTGCAATAAAATGATTTCCCTTCTTGCTTTATTTAGTTTTGCTTGCAATTTTCCAGCCTAAATATTTATAAAGTTGAATTGAATTCTGTTAGATATAATACAGCTCTTTGTCAGTTTAAGAGTAATCAATATTTATAATTTATAAAATAGATCAAAATATATAAAATATTTAAATTTAAAAAAATACGACTTTTTTATGACACTTTAAGTTTCATGCCAATAGGCAAAACATTCAGCCAAATATTTAAAATCATTAAATAAAAACTGTTATAAAAATACAAATTTGCATAGCAACAAGATCAAACTTCAGTTTTCATGCTAAACATAGATTTCTTTAGCCAGTGTCAAAATTTGATAGCAAAAACTTTTTTTTTTGCCTACATGCCAAAACCAGTTCAATTATTTTTTTAACAAGGGTTCTTTTTTATATGCCAAATTAAAATATTTCTCATTTATGCAAAGATTACATCTTTTTGAGGATGGTTTATAAGGTTGACTTTTTTTAATGATACTCCACTTGATTATTGGTTTAATGCCTGTTTCTTTAAGTTTCCAAATTTCTTTAGAAAATTCAGTGTCATTTTTATACTTGATTATGTTAGAAGATTTCATGTGGTTTGCAAATCTGGTCTTGAAATATTTTTGGTTCTATCAATATAAGATTGATTTAGATTTAGCATGATTGACGTTAGGTGATGTAAGAGTAGCCTTATAAACAATATTTTTAGATAGACATTGATTTTCAAAAGGACACGTAGCTCTATTTATACAGTTGCATGTTTTTAACATTGTTGGTAACAGCCTGAATAATTCTATTCAATGCAACATAAAAAAGTGAATTATCTCAACATTACATTAAATCTTAGCAACCGCAGCTTCAAAGCTTAAATGATTCTTAATTAAATCTTCAAACCTTAAATAATTGAATAACCTTGAATTATTAAACTAAAAACACACCGATACCATCTAATAAAGAATACAAATTGCGATTAGTAGAAAAAAAACAAAATATTGATAGAAAGAATGAGATGAAAAGCTTTTTTCTACTGGAATAAACAATCTAATAGTATGAACAATACTAATAATAATGATAATATTAATAGAGACTTTAGATTTTATGGCAATAACACACCGCATTCCCCGCAGCAGATTAAATTGGGCATTTGAAAAAGATGTGTGCATTTAAAATAATTAAAAATACCCAGTTTAGAAAGATCTAATGTAACTTCCACAATAGATTAAAAAATGAAGTTTTTCTGTTCAAAAATCAAAATATCTATGCATATGCAGGTAAGACATCAAACTTATAAAAGCTGTCTGAAGATGAATACAATGAATTGATGACAAATGCTACTACAATTAATTATAAAAAGACCATTCCATCAATAAAAGATCAGATTAATGAAGGAAAAATTATATTAAAAAATCACGATGTTTTAAACAAAATTCATATAAACGGATCATCAAACTGTTTCATCACATTGAGAAATCATAAATTTAATTTTTTAAATAGTCTAACAGTTTGTCTCATAAACCCAGCAAACAATGAAATAGAAAGAATAAGTAACATTTTATATTCAAACTTCATTATTATTTATAATTAAATAACAATGAAGTTTGAATAAAAAAATAACCGAGGTATGTAAATAGTTTGGAATTTTCCTTTTTATCCAAATTTCTTAGTTTTATAACAAGTTTGATTTGGGACTATATAGAGATGATGGGTTGGTCATGATTAAAATGCTAGCGTACCACAAATGGAAAAAGATTTTTAACAGAAACACTGCCAAAATAAGTTACAGCTGCATGCCAAATATCAGTACTTTTTTTAAGTCACACAACAAACATATTTTGCGCAATAAAAACACAGATTATGTTAGAAACTGCAACTGTATATGTTGCAGTTTCTAACATTATCAGTATTTTTATTTCGCGCTCTTTAGAAAATCAATGCCTAACCCTATAACCCATCCTCAAAAGATGTAATCTTTGCATAAATTAGAAATATTTTATTATGACATATAATAAAGAACTCTTGTTAAATAAAAAAAGTGAATGGGTTTTGGCATGTAGGCATATATATATATATATATATATATATATATATATATATATATATATATATATATATATATATATATATATATATATATATATATATATATATAACACTCCCTTGTAGCAGCAGGCTATAAGATAGTTGATGTAGCAACACTTATGCATGTTTTAAAAATGTTTTTTAATAAAACAAAAACACCACTAATTAAAAAAAACCTTCTAGTATTATTGTGGTTTTTTTTAAAAACAATAAAATTTAATGTACTTCCGCATTAATTTAATTGCTTTGACATTTCAACGACAATAAAATGCAGCTTAAGAGACAAGGTAAAAAAATTGTAGTCGAAAGAGACTTTTTACCGTAAAAGTCTCTTTCGACTACACTATAAGGATATATATATATATATATATATATATATATATATATATATATATATATATATATATAGGCCTTGTTTTAAAGCGTTACACCTAGAGCAATTTACGTACGCCTTAAGCGATTTTTACATACGCGTAGAGCTGTTTTGGTTAAGCTACTTTTTATCATTTTTTAACTTTTAATTTAGCGATAACATAAAAGAATTAATTTTTAAAAAAACCACATTAACTTTTAAACGATATGTAAAGATATTTATTACAAAAAAGAATTTACATTAAAAAATAATTGTTGTAACTTTTCATTGCGATATATCTTACCTTTTTATAGCAATTAATTTTACGCTAAACTTTTTATCCAAATATTTAGCAACATGAAAAATTGTTCGTCAATCCTTAACTACAAATTTTTTGCAATGTTTTTAATAAAAAGTAGTAATTTGTTAAAATTTTCAGTAAAAAACTTTAAAAAAATCCATATTCCATATTTATTAATACAGAATATAAATATTTTTTTTATAAAGATTTTTTTCGAGTTTTTACTGAATTTATAATGAAAAACATTTGCAAAAAAATTTGTAATTAAGGATTGACATTTTTTTTAACATCTCAAAAAATGTCATAGTATTTTTGTTACATTTTTTCGAGATATTAAAAAAAATGTGCCAATGAATCAACTATCTATTTGTATTTTTCTAAAAATTACTTCATTAATTATTACTCTTTGCTTTTCTTATTAGTTAAAGGTATATAGATACCTTTACCTTTAAATTATGCAGGGAAAGGGGGCCAACACAGAAAAAAAAAATTACCTGTTACTCGCAATTTTTGAATGAAGACAATTTGTTAAATTTCTTCTGCGTGCGATTCAATAAGTTTTTTTCATAAATCAAGTTATATTATAAGGTAAAGAAATCACGAGTAGACTATAACATCCGCTGATGACACTAATATTACGTTGAATATATTTATATAACGGAGGTTTCATTATGCATGCGCACATTACAGATTCCGTAAAATAATTACTAAGGCACGTTTTAGTTTAATGACAGCCTCTATTTTTTACTAATGAATATGTATTTTTCTTTATAAAACAAGACAAACTAGTATATAAAAACCTTGTATATTTCTATTCTCTCTAAATTGTTTAAAGTTCGAATAAGAATTGTATTTTGAAGGACAAAAGATTTACTTTAAAAACTTTTAAATCTTGGGACTTTGCCAATGCGATAATCACAGAAAAAAAGAAGACTTACGGTATTAAAATCAAATGTAAGTTATGTGATCTTCATCAAAATAGAATATTATCCAAAAACAATGGTGCCGTAAGGGCAGCTGCCGTATGGTTTATAAATAACACAAGTCATGTTAAAATATTTTAACATGTTACTATATTTTAATTAAGTTGATATATAAATAAAAATATAAATATAGTTCAATAAATAAATTAAATTTGTTCTTAACAAAGATTATCTCATATCTATTCTTTTTTTATTTTATTGAGTTAAATTGCTTACAAACGAAAGAAAAAAAAAGAGTTTTGTAATTATACGTAGAATGAAAATACTTTTAAGTTTGTTTATAAGTTAAGGAACTTAATTTTTAATAAACAAATTTTTAAGAACGTTTATTATAAACAGATACAATTCAAATTATTAAATATACTTATATTATTTTAGTTATTATATACTTATATTAGCTTAGTATTTTTTTAAGTTTGCACGATTAAAGTTTTGCGTAGAAGTATTTGTTTTTTGTTTTAAGATTAATTAACAAAAGAGTTTGCATAATTAAGACTTTTATATTTAATTTAATTTTTTTTCTTAACTTCCTAAAATAAAAATAAAAAAAGATTTGATTGTTAAAAACGATTTTTCTCTATAGCTCTGTTTCTTTATGATTTGTTTAAAATGTAAAACATTTTTACAATAACATAAAAAATTTATGAATTAAATTCATGGCGAACGCGTTCTAAACTATGTATCAAAAATATGCTCAAAGCAAACAAAACTTTTTTATATTTTTATATGACACAAATTTAAAAAATATTTAAAAACCTAAATTATTTTTTGCTAGTCAAAACAAAATCGCTGTTTAAATAATTAACATTGGTTTTTGTTTATCAATGCTAATATTTTTTGTTTACTCCAGAAATTTTAAAAAATAAAAATCATTATTATTTTTTATTCAGTAACGATTTATAAACAATAATTATTCAAAAACAAATTTCAGAAGTAATATATATATATATATATATATATATATATATATATATATATATATATATATATATATATATATATATATATATATATATATATATATATATTTACAAATAATATTGTAGTAAAATTAATAAAATAACAATTGAAAACATTACAAACTTTTCATAATAAATTTACATTTAAAACGTTTATAGTTATTTGAGTTAATTGTTAAATTGAGCTAGTTAACGGTTATTTATTTATTGCTGTAGTTAAAACACTTAACGTCTATAAAAAAAGATAAAGATAATTTTATGACGTCAAAATTGCGTTAACCTAATGCATTAAGCACTTTTTTATTTAAAACAAGGCCTATATATATATATATATATATATATATATATATATATATATATATAT